GGGACACATGTTGATGTAGAAGAGACGTGAAGAAGGGGGGCACACTGATGGAAGTGGGCGGAGTTAAATCAGCTTTGGCTCTCTCTCTAAATGCCACAGAGATATTCTTGTCCGACTGGCTTCTGTTCATCCAACACTTCGAGCTGCTGGTAGTTCCACTGTAAACATTCTTCTGGTTTCTCTCTCCGTCACGCACAATACACATTAGTAACAGGCCTAGTGTTATGATATTGTTGACAGATTCAAGGATTAATTAAGGCACAGGGTTCTAAAAATATATATTTTTTGTTGCATAATAACAATTATCATTATTATTTATTGTTCATCAGCTCTGAGAAGTGTTGCTACATAATAGTGTTAGGCCAATTATTCTGCACAAGCCTTGGTCAAGCCGGTGATGTCATACGAACACCAATGTTGTAATAAAATGATTTCATGCCGGATTTATTCCAGAGCTACACGATTCCCTTAAAATGACTTTATTTTTGTATTTAAGTTTAACACAGGCTCATACTTGTCTTGACAATGTGAAAAAAATCCGATGATGCAAGGAGAAGTTATTGACTCTACAGACTCACAGTTTTTGGTGATATTTTTATTTAAGCAAAACAAAGCATACTGAAAAAAACTAAGTAAGATAGAAAAAAAGAAAAACTGACCATGGGACCAGGCATAATGAAAGCCTTGGTCACTATTGTTCAAACACAAGTGTGGTTTCTCAGCTGTAGAATAAGACATTCTTGTGGGTGTTTATTACATGTGCATCTACAGCTATAAACCATTAACTTTAAATAACAATGACCAGAATGCTTCCTTCTCACAATACAATACCATATTCGTAATAATAATAATAATAATAATAATGCATTACATTTTTTATTAATAGTAATGACATTTCTAATCGTTTTGCTTTTAGTAAGAAGCCTTGTGCTGATCAGGCTCAGTTTGCCATTTTCTAAATCTAACTTGCAGCTTGTTCACACTTTCACACAGTTTGCGTGTGTGTGTGTGTGTGTGTGTGTGTGTGTGTGTGTGTGTGTGTGTGTGTGTGTGTGTGTGTGTGTGTATGTGTGAGTGTGTGTGTGTGTGTCTCTTGACTTACTGTCCGACCTCATGCAGAACAGGAGCAGGACACAGCAGATAGCCGTCTCTCACTACTTGTGGCTTCTGGTCTGAGAGGAAACAGAGACAGAGAATGGTTACTGCCTACAAAGAAAGGGGATGTTCTTTTTAAATATACAAAAGTTACCAATAACTAAGACGTAAAACAAATGGGCCTTTCGTGCAATCTGATAGGCCAATAGAAATGCAGCTTACCTCTAACGTTACTCACCATTCATTAGCAGGGGAATATACAATGTACTATGCTGTCATAATGCTTTATTTGAAAAAAACTGCGTGACAATTTAAATATTCTCTCCCAGTGATTGGATACAATATATAATAAAACAAATTCCAGCAGAATAGACGAAAACAAGACACTCAGAAGAGAAAAAGGAAGCTACAATACAAGTCATGTGTTTCCTTTCACATCCTCTCAGTGACATTAGGAGAACATTGATCTGTTAATAGTCTAATGAGAGGAAGAACATGCAGCTCCCTCTGCTCACTCTCATAATGTGTCCTCTGTTCTCCGGCTGAAGTCAATAAAAAGCAGCCACTGTTTGTTCCTTGATGTCATGACTAGAGTTTCCACTGCAGCACAGACATCTGCACGCTGTATCACATTTCACTTCATAGATGATGTTATCCCAGGACAAGGGTAAGTCATAATTGTTAAATACTACCAGGGTTACAATAAGTGCATTGCTAGCATTAGCATCAACAAGCCACTTATTTACCAGCTGACGACTAAAGCACAGCTGGGGAAGTCATGAGTGTGTGGCATTCACTGACCGTATGTCTTTTGATCGACAGTGAGGGTGCAGAGTATGTTGTCTGTCCTCCTGGATCCGCTGAAGCCGCTGCCCCTCAGCACCACACTGAAAGACTCTGAAAAACATCGGACACATTACAATATTATGACGTGGTACTTCATTTGCAAATATGAAACAGCTATGATGGTGTTTGAGCAAATTCAAGTTAAAAAGACTGAGTCATTTCTGTGTTTCTAAGTCCTTATTTGCATATAATGTCAACCTGAAAGTCAGTAATATATGCCTTGACATGATTAAGATATGACCCCTCTTTTAAATACATCACTAAAGACTCCAATAAATGCATTATTTTGTATGGGTTTAGTTGTTATCCATTCATAACCCCCAAACCAAATCATCATAAATAGAGAAAACTGAATATTGTTTTTTATAGTATGGCATACAATGAAACATTCTGGGTAGTTTTGAGGATCCAATTAATCTCAAACAAAAGTTGTTGTAAGTTTATCCAAAGAACCTGTTTAACCTCCTCTGTCACATCAGATATTTTCTTCTATATTTAACATTTAAACAAATCAAATATAACCCAAACACAATATGAGGGTTTATTCTACTTTTACCTGGGGAAAAATTACCCTGGTGGATACACTCTACCTTGTGAGGGTTTTTAAAGTATAGCGACACAATGCGCAACTAGGTATTGTCTTATCATCCGATAGTAACTGATAAATCACTCTTAAATTCATAAACTACACTAAAAGGAAGTCAGTTGAGCACAAAAGTCCTTAAGCTATATCCTCCGGGGACAACGAGTGACTTTCCAAATAAATAAAGCAATCAAGCAATAATTTGTTAAGATAATTCACTCTGATGAGAGACGTTTACTCACATTAATCATATTTTAGCTGCAATCATTACAGTTGGAACAAGAATCAACACTAGCTTACCATTCACACAAACACTTGACGGCTCTATTGTGAAAACATCTGCACATGTCTGCTTCAGGATCTGTGGAGATACAGATGACGGTCAGGTTGTAAATCTGATTTCACTCTCACTGAGTGTTTTTTCATTGTAATTTGTGACGTGACTTCACCTTGTTGACGATGTCTTTGAGGGCATGAAACCCGGACAGCACGGGGAAGACTTGTTCATTACCGTCTGCTATTTCAGCAAGCTGAGACAAAAGAAATAAAATGGACCCTTCTGTAAATTCATATTTTTTGTCTCTCTGGGAGGTCTTCAGGTCATTACGGGTCAGTGCTTCTGCAGCGTTTAGGGAGGGAAAGTCTGTCTTCGGGAGATGAAAGCTCTGGACAGCTGGCTGAAGCTTTCATCTGCTGCTTTAATGATGGCAGGACAGGAAGCTTGCCAGAATTATTTAATTACAGAGATTAATGTAACGACTTCCTCTACTGACCGCCGAGTACTCCCGCTGACTAGCCGTGCAGAGAAACTCTTTCACCCGATGACCACTGAAGACCTCCCCAGTCATGATTTATGCAACTTAAAGCCATTCCGATATGCTTATGAATACTAATTACACACATCAATACTGTCACTGTAATTCAATTAAGCTGCTAAGACCGCAAAAACAAACACTAATGCAGTAATAATTCAGGGAAGGCGTTGTGCAACCGTAAGGCCACTTTGATGAAACATTGTAGTATCATAATTCTTAACAAATTAAAATAGTGTTTTCTTTTCACTGTCAATGCTAAATGTAAGATGACTTATGATCAGTGATAACTATAGTCAACATTGCATATAACAGCAGGAAAGAAACACCAGTGGACTATTGTTTCTTAAAGATATTGTTCCAATGTTTTTAACTAGGGTTGTATACTATAAGGTACTTAGCCACGGCCGTGCATTAAATACAGTAGATGGGGGTCCCCGTGCCCCATGTTTGGGAAACAGACACTAGGGGTACATTGAATTACTGCTGCAGAAATATGTTTTAGGCACCTAAAAAAATCCATATACGTTTAAATGTATACTATATTTAGAATATTTTTCATGCTTTTCCTTGCTGTCAGACATCCCTTTCCACAGGGAGCTGAATTCATCCTTAATGCTCTCTTGAAAGTCACCAAACAACTGCAATTTTACCTTGAAGAACAGCCTTGTTTGGTTAGTTAGCTTGTGTTATTGTGTAATTTCTGTGTGCTAAACCTCATATCGTTTTATAGGATAATTCCTTTCTTTCCTGAGTATTTCTTAAAATGAACACATTCACACGATAAACGTCTTTGAGAACACGTCAAAGTTTTCGCGTTACTTGTTCAGAACCAAAAGCTCCCTTTCAAGAACTTGATACTCTCCAAGGATATGTTAACCTACAGTAGATATACCTACCATGTTATGTTACCTTAAGGCCTCAATAAACATGATGATTTACATAAATAAAGCTTAGGAGTTCCATTGTCAACAAGGTGTGTTAATAAATGTAGAGCCAAAAACAGCTTTCAGTCCATGTAAGATCTGACCACCACATCACCCAACACATGCTGACACACACAAAAACAAATAAAAGCTCAGTGTTTAAACAACCAGCAGTATCAGTAACAGAGAGTTTTCCTTCTCACAGTGCTGCGCGGCAGGGAAGGTCCTCCTACCTGTTTGTGGTCAAAGTCCATGACCCCGACGCAGTACACTCTGGCTCCAAACCCTCTGGCTCTGTCGGCCTGGGAAGAAAAACACAAATAGTCAAATTCTCCATTTGTATGATCAGCTATCAGAAAATAAAAGAAAGATCAGAGTTGTTTACCTTATTAGATTGACTTTACGTCAATCCCTGTATACTGTATATAATGTTAAAGTAATACTTCACCCCCAACATTTTCATTTGTATATAATTGACTCGCTCTGTGTTACCTTACATCTTTTAAGAAGACTTCTGTTTTTGTGAAAGGAGAATAAAAAAAATCGAGATAATTCTTGAGGAATTGAAGTAAATTAGGGCTGTGTTAAACAGCAAAATATATCAAAGCATCCGTACACAAACACTCAAACAACTTGCCATACCTTTAAACTTGATTTGTAGTGTGTTAAATATTAAGTAGAAACTGTCATATTTCACTAAACATGTTACATATCCTAAAGACTGTTAAGAGTGTTGTAATTCAGTAATTAAACGACAAAGGATTTGTGAAACATGTTTTTGTGTCAGCGTGTCTCTTTTATCTATCTTCATTTAGATTGAAACACGAGAGTACCTCCTCTAGAGTCATCTCAAAGGGGAAGACCTCCAGCTTGCCATCAGTCAAAATGATGATGATGCTGGAGGACGGAGAAGTCTGTGTCTTCATCTGCTCTGACACCTGAGGAGAAGAGGTTGACACACACTCATGCTGTGCACATGTGTTGCTCTAAAACGAAAATGACAATTTTACTGTTGTATATTTTGGATTGCTGTAATATTTTCAGTCTCTATTCAAAGCAAATTGTGCATGTTAATAGTGTTAGCTTTTCCCAGTAAAGTGGCAGTTCATGTTGAATAAAGTAATCTGTGTTTGTTAAATAGTTCCTGGCAGGTAATCACAGTGTTAGACGAGCCTACCTACCGCTTTTATGCCTTCGTGCATGTACGTTTCACCAGCTGGTTTGATTTGGCTCAGCTTCTCCAAACCCTTGTTTATCTCAGACCTGAGCACAAACCAGGGATACAAATGTTCAAACAGAGACTGATAAGAGCTCAGTTTCTGTGTGATCAGGTTATCTTTGTTAATGTTTTTTTGTATCTGTGAGGAGGAACAGGAGCAGGACGTAGTAAGATTGGTGATGGAGTGAGGCAGAGAAGAAGAAAAAGTGGAAAGGTTTGGAAAATGGAAGCTGGTACCTGTCTCCAGTTAGTGGCAGTATTACGACTGCTCTGGCTGAAAAGACGATGTAGGAAACCCTCATCCTGGGACTGAAACACACACAGGCAGGAAGCTTGTTAATCTTATCTGCAGTACAAAAACAACAATTTGTGTCAACATTTTAAGTGGGTTTTGTCCTTGTTTCAACAAAAAAGATATCCATATAAACACTTTTATTAACTTTGATTTCCAGTTTTATGATTTCCAGTGGACATGTGCTGATAATCTGTTTAAAATTGGATCTATTTAAGCAAACAAAGAACATTCAGTCATCAACAGTGTTAAATAAATGTTTATTAAAGTTCATTAATCATATGTCTCATTCTTTTTATCATGTTGTACTTGTTTCATATTATGCCTACAAAATACACCCCAAAACAAATATCTAAACATCGGCATAGCTAATGAAAAACCCATTTCAGTAGAAAACTTTTATAGAAAAAACACTGTAACAGACCATGACTGGACAGTATATGTGTTTTTAATGTGGCATAATAAAGTGTATTGTAATGTAGCACAAAACATAGCAAGACACATAACAATATACTATATTTCCCATTACACTACAGAACATAAAAAAGGTAGATAATACCATGTGGCAAAACATGACAAGACATTTATTACAAAAGTGAGTTCAGGTTCACAGGAAAATCTCAGTGTTTTTTTCACTCACTGATCTTTACATTGAACAAAACAGAACTCCTAACGTTGTCAGTTACTTTGTTTTTATATACTTCAGGCAGTGAAGGGAAACATGACAGTCTGTTGTGGTCAGAATAACTTTCACATCTGGCCAGATGTTTAGTTCTCATATTTAGCAACCAGTTATTAAACCTAAAAGTATCACACACACACACACACACACACACACACACACACACACACACACACACACACACACACACACCCGCTGCCCTGTTAACTCAGAGGGGTTTGGAGAAGTTGGTGGCCCTGTATGATGTATGCTGCCCAAAATAAACATGCCCTACTTTCTACCCACTACCACTGTTTGTATCATGGTTTACAGACCTATAATAACTTCTCAGTATTTAAATCGTTTTTTATTAGTTTAAATATGACTGTAGTTCAAATGCAATATGTCATTAAAACACTTTACTTGGTCTTGAAGTGTGCTATATAAAGTTTATATGATTCCGTATTCCTGAGGCTATTTATAGTAAAAAAAAAACATAAAATCTGAGTATGGGGTGGGAGGAGAAGAGGTGCCGTAGAGATAAGAGAGGGATAAAAATACTTTACTTACCTGACAAATCTGTTGGTGAGCTGCTCCACAAATCCATAGATCTCATTCCAGTGTCCAAACACACTGCCTGACCTGCAGAAACAGGAACATCAGAGCCATACACCAAAATCACCTACATATACACATGTATCAAAATACCCAACACAATACCCAACATCAAAGCATAGCCAACCCTGAAGACAAAGAGGGGAGTCCATCAATAAATTAAATTAAAATGCATTTGGATAGCTTGAATGTTCTGTATAAGAGGCATACATTAAGTTAAGATGCAGTGGGTAAATGCATTCAAGGGACTGTGTTTGTTTTTGCTTTACGACAACATAATACACTGAGAATAACTCTGGAGGAAACAAAAGAGGACTTTCTTCAAGTCTACACATCAAACCCTGACGGTCAGAGCCAAAAAAGATGAAAATAAACTCTGTCTAACCTCCAGTGAATCGGCAAAGGGACACTGAAAACTAAACAGAGCCATACATGGAGAGGACTGAGTCCAGACTGCTCTGACACAAGGATTACCTTTCATTTATATATTGGTTACCTGTTGGCTCCTTTTAAGCATACACATGCATGCAGACAACTGATCCAATCTGTGTGTACTCACCTGTCTAAAACAAAATAAATATCAAACGCTCCATCACAAGAAGCATCGTCACCATCAGGCAGTGATGAATTCACACAAACACTTAGAAAAAGTAGGATCTGGGAACATATCCATATCAGATCCATAATCCATGTGTCTCATATCAGCAGGGTGTTTGATAAAAAAATGTTTCAATAATCCCTAAATCAGCTGCTTTGAGTCTGTCATCATCTGCTCGGCATCAGCCCCGCGGTTCACATGTTGAAGTCCCTGCTGAGTGGAAGTGAAGAGGATGTGTGTTCTCTGACAGCAGGCTGATAATGGAATTAACCGGGCAGGGCATACAGCTGCTGTACACAGCCCTCCAACCAGCAGCAACAACACAGAGTGGGACTTCCTCCAGGGTTTTTCACATTAAACGGGAGACATGATTGTAGCAAAATACTACTAGTCTGCTAGCAGTCTACTACTAATCAATCGTTTTGATATACTTTAAGAATATTCTATACTATAAGTTATTTTTAACGTTTTTATTTCCTTTTATAGAATTTGCATGTGTTTTTTATGTAGGCTAGCTTTGATATGCTTATATTTATTTTTATTTATAAATATTTTTAACTTACAGGGACTCTTTAAATTCATGTCCCGAGCTGAAAATGTGTCAGAATTATCTAGAAGTAAATGTTATCAAGTACAGACCCTGGAAAAATGTTTCACAAGCAAATTAAAACAACTTCTGTAATAAAATAGTTTGCAGAGGGATAATAGAAATATAGCATTAATGTTAATAAAGATGTACAGAAAATCATAATGCTAAAATGTCTGGTAGTAATATAATTGCTCAAATAAAATGACATGTATATATTTATAATGTATGATGTCCTTTATTGTTTTATGTTTGTTTTATGTTTCATGTGGAACCTATTTGCTGCAGGTCTCCCTTGAAAAAGAGATCTATGATCTCAATGGACCAATCTGGTTAAATAAAGGTTTTGGAAATGAAATGAAATCACTCGGCACAGCGAAGAGTACATTTTACGGTTACACAAATACACAAACACATATCTAAATAATAACTTTATAAAGCAAAACAATATGAAGTGAATATTAATTCCTATTATGGGAAAATGAACAAGTATTCTATGTTGTATTAAAAATACGATTAAATAATAAAGTAACACTGTGCAGAAATAAATCTTCCTAACATTCAGTTGCTTCACTATGCTTTTATTTTGAAGGCCAGAGCAGCTGGCATAAACAGTGATAACAGGATAGAATGACAGAGTGAGGGTTACAATAACTTAAATACAGAAAATATTTGAGCCATAAATATCACTGTATCAAAAAAAGGAGAGGAGCGAGCCAGTTCCTGTCCTATAAACCAATTAAACCCTTCTTGGTAGTAGTTTAAAGAGTGTTTTCTAAGGGGGCCATGTTTTAATCAACATGTGTTCCTCTGAAAATGAACATTACAGCAATCACTTATTATTACAGGACATTTGTTGACTCATTGGTAACTCCCAATAATGATGTAATGAATCTGCTGGTGAAAAAAAGAAGAGCATCAATTTCCTTCAAATCGATTGCATGTGAAAAACAAAAGTCGATATGCTTACACAACTCCAACAATAAAGAACGCCCTTGGTGTGTCAGAAGGATTTGCTGCCTTGAAATGTTCTGGTCCAAAGGAAATTAAATCTACTCTTCGGAGAAAAAACTGTTCTTATGATTCTCCTCATCATTTTTCTTTTACACTGCCATGTCAGCAAAAGCACATTTGATAATGTTGTCATTATATTTCACTGTGTCATTAATGTCGAAAGCAATATACTTTCTGTATGTCATCAATCTTGTTCAACACATCCGGGAGTTTTTTTGTTGTTGTGGTGATGTCATTAGCAGTTCATTGTGTTTGCAGGGATACAATGCGTGCGGCTTCCCAGTACATTCAATTTCAACTTTAAGGAGGATGTAGTCATGACAGTAAACAGATCCAATAACAACATACCACAGTCATTGTGTCAGCAAATTGCATCTATTCTGTTTAATCTTCTGCAAGCCAGCGATCCCCCTTGGATATTTGTATAATGAAAGGCCGTATTGGATTATTGGATCCTTGCTTGAATTTTGGGTGTAGCACTTGGACCATGAAACAAATAATCCTATTACAACAGCCCTCCAATCATTGCTCTCTTTTTTCTGTATTCAAATAAACACAAAATGTAACATTTAAACAACTAAAGAGGGAAAAGGGGAAAGAGGGACCACAGAATAAATGTGAAACTAGTTTTAAACTGAACAAATGTGAGCAAAATGAAATTTAGGAGATGCTGTCATACCTGAAATATTGAATTTTCTCTTGATTTGTTAAAAAGTATGAGAATGATGATATGAATTTGTTTAGATTTGATATATTTGTTGTTGTTGTTGCAAATGTTATACTTATATTATATATTTTATATCAGTCATCTTTGAATGGCAGAGAACTCTCCAGATGTAAAACTCGTCTCGATTCTATGGGCTGAAAGGACTGATGGCAGAAAGAAGGGATCACCAGTGATTTGACCTTAGTAGAAAACAAAACAGAGATAGTGTTTCTTCATTCAAACCACTGCATGTTAAGTTTGTGACCAGTGAATCCCACCGCCAAAGCCAAAACACATGAGATGTATTTAAGGGTGTAGCCACAAGCCTGGTCTAGTGTTATTAAACTGTTGCCAGATGTAGGGGTGTGATTTTCATTGTATATCTTGGTTAAGACATCTTCTGAAACCACAGCAATAAGCATACTGCAGGATATGAATTTCGACTTAACTAAAAGCATTTGAGAAATTAATTTGATATATCATTTTAAATACATTTTTGACAGAAAAGCTCAGGAGAATAAATGGCTCCAGATACCATCCTCAACCCTTACCAGTTGGTGGCAGTAACGCATCCCCCCGCACCGTTATGTCGTTTACTATCAAACAGAAGAGGAAATGTGTGCTGGTGTTATGTAGCTAAGGATGGCTAAAATGTAATTATTTTTAAAGCAATGATATATTAAAAGTCCAGATATGGCTGAGTTTCCTGAACAAGGATATCGACGGTCGGACACCGGTTTATGGTGAGCGTTGTGACCCTATTTCAACCAGTTTGGCTGGCTACAATAAAGCTGTCAAGGTTAGCATTGACATTAGCAAGCCCGAAACGTAGCCTGCTAGCATCATGGCTTTTACAATAACAAAACGGTATCACACACAGTTTAAATATGTAATTGTTGCTGGTTTTAAAAAGCTTTATGTCGAAGTGAAACATTAAATAATGTCTGTGTTGAACAGTCGACATGCTGAGTGTTTAGTACAAGGTGGTTACGAAGACATGCTTTCAGAAGATCAAGGTGTCAGTTTACATATTAACCAACGTTAGCTTTAGCTTGCTTAACAATCATATGTAGCTAATAACAATAATAATTGTAAATGCTCTTAATAAACACTGGGAGTTATTACACAAACAGTAGGCCTAGCTGTTAACCCAGTTTTCTGCCCATAAATCTTTATTCAGTCATTTGAAAACCAGTTATTGCTAGAGCTACTGCTTTTTACTAACCGGTGTTTTCTCCATTCCTCTCCCCAGACTCAGTCTTCACCTCCCCGGCTTGTACCTGAGGAGCTGCTGAGGACAGTAAGGATGCTGCTGAAGATGCCCCAGAAGCTGCTGAAGACTGCCAACTTCATCGAGCTGGGCAGCTACCAGCACTGGCCGGTGCTGATAACCCAGAGGATAAGGCTGTACACCTACGAACAGATCCCCCTCTTCCTCAGAGAAAACCCCTTCATCACAGATGGCTACAGGGCCCACCTGCCCTCCAAACTCTGCCTGAGGAGGTAGGAGCCATGTTGGACGTTTCTAAAGGTTTGGGAACTCAGTGGTGCATGCCTTGTTTACACATGTATCTTTTTTTCTCCATTTTCTCTGCAGTATTTTTATGCTGTCCAATGAGACTGTGAATATTTGGAGCCATCTTCTGGGTTTCTTGCTTTTTTTCTACCTGGCGGTCAACGACCTCACCTCAGTACTGCCAGCCTCTGGAGTGAACAGAGAGGACTACGTCATCTACGCTATTGGACTCTTCTGCTTCCAGGTAAAAAAAATGGCTGACTGAGAGTGACAAAAGCTGGAATATTCTTGAGAATATCCAATATTGTGGTTTAATGCATTTTTTAATTGAGACATGAATTGAATACGAAGATGTTGTGTCATTTACAGTCATACAGTGTGTTCTAGCTTTTTTAAATAATCTTCCCTTAGTTCTTTCAGCATCTATGCTAACCTTAAAAGAAGGTGTGCATGTAATGTAACTAGCTACTTTAACATACATTGTCAACCATTTGATTTTTAAAGCTGTTTACAGGTATTACTTTAGAGTTGTTGTACTGTATTTAAAAGAAGTATGTATAATTTATTCATGTAGGTTCACGTTTCCTGCCACAGGTGCAATCAGTTGACCTCAACCCACCCAGGTCTGTAAAATGTGTAGGGTTAGCTGTTACCATATTAAAAAGAGCAGTAGGCACTATAAGAACAATAGGAATGGCAATGTAGTTTGGCGGTCCATTGTTCAATGTAGAGACTGTGTTTCTGTGTCTGTGTTTGCGGTTTATGTTGGAGGTGTTTCGCAATTGTTAACGTGATTAGAAACATGTACATGTTGCACAAGTTGGTGATTCCCATGTACCGTTAGTATAGTATAATATGTTTCCTGCCTCCCCCTTTTTAAACCTCTTTATTTGTCCATTCGAGAGCAAGCTGGGAGTATCTCGATTGTTTTGTCGAAGTCCTTATTTCTTGAGGTGGATTAATGTAAAAGAGTCCTAGAAGGATTCTTTGACTTATATTAAATAAACCAAATATTTATTTGTATCAAAAGAATATCTAATCATGGGCTGAAGGTTTTTTCATTATCAATTATTCTGCCAAGTGCTAACCATTTTAAAGATTCACCTTTTTGTCTAAAATAAATGTCTTTAAATGTCCTTTTTGTCAGTCCTTAACACAACAGCCTTCCTTGTTTTCACTGCAGGTGTGCATGTTATGTTCTGTGGGGTATCACCTGTTCTCATGCCACCGATCAGAGAAGACCTGCCGCCGCTGGCTGTCCTTGGACTACGCAGGAATCTCTGTCGGCATCCTGGGCTGTTATGTGCCTGGGATCTTCTACGCTTTCTACTGTAACGCTGTAAGTACATTTTTATCATTTCATTCATTTGAACTATTTTCAATATGTACTTACAAGTGTGTGTATTCATTTAAAGTTTATTTTTTTATTCTTAGTATATGTACAATTTAAGTCGATGTGCCATTATGTTTTTAGTGAATCTAAGTTCATTTGCATGTATCTTTGCGCTTAAAGCAACTCTAATTAGACTATGTAATCGGTTACTCTCCTATTTTGCAGTTTTGGCGGCAGTTGTACCTGCTGACGGTGCTGTCGCTGATCCTGGCCGTCTTCTGCGCTCAGGTCCACCCTCGTTACCTCAGCAACGACTGGAAACGGATACGAATGGCTATCTTCTGCTGCGTGGCCGGCATCAGTGTTGTTCCCTCCTGTCACTGGGTTGGGCTCAATGGTGGATTATCCACTGATGTTGTACAGGTAAGGCAATGCCATAAGATTAGAAAACAAGCAAAGCTAGTGTATTCATTTTATAGTAAACAAGTTTTACTCAGGATTTTGTTGTATGTGCAGTTGTTCCTGCCTCGCATCCTAGTGATGTACCTCATAGCTGGAACTGCCTTCCTGTTCTACGTCACCAAGATCCCTGAGCGCTATTTCCCCGGTGAGTCCTCCTCCTCTGTCTCTTTAACTGAGTGATACATTTGGTCAAGGCACAACATGAAAAATGCTGTAACTGAAATGGCTATATCTCTGTTAATAATAAGAAAGGAGAGCATTTTTATTTTAACAGCTGTTTTTTTAAACGTGTTGATGCTACTGTCTTGGCCAGGACTCTCTTGTAATAGAGATTCTGAATCTCAATGAATTAAATAAAGATGTAAAAAAAAGAAAACACTGATAAGAAATGTATTTTTGTGATGGTAACTAATTAATTTACACCAGAAATGATTAAAAAAACACAGCATGTATTCAGTATTATTGTTCAATTCTTTCTAGTGGACTTGGAAATCCCACAGCTGAAACATATTTACTTAATTACCACTTAACGAGTAAACGCAGGTTAGCTGCTATACTCGCTGTCATAGCAGCAAAAGCACAGGTGTTACTAATGACACTAACGATGGCACTCTTCTATTCAAGTGTCCCAGTGGACAGAGAGCTGTGAATATAAGATACCAACATAGGCTGATGTATAACATATATAGGTCTTCTATTCCTCCTGAAGTATATTTTCATTCTCGTAGATTGTAAATCATGTATGAAAATGAACAAAAAGAAATACGTGCATTATTCAAAGCATTTCTTTCGCCCTTTCTCTCCCAGGCCAGCTGAACTACCTGGGTGCCAGCCACCAGGTGTGGCACGTGCTGGTGGTGTTGATGTTTTACTGGTGGCATCAGACGGCTGTTCACATCATGCAGTTCAGGCACAGCCGGTCCTGCCCCCGGACCAGCAGCAGCTAAGTGGAACTGATCAAATAATGTCATGTAAAGGCAATCAGTTGCTGTCAGCAAACATCAGTTAGATCTTTTAAAATTCATGAAATACTTCTTAACACTTAGCTGCTGGTTATAATGTGATAGCTAAAAGGTATACCACTGACTACCAGGAACTCTTGACTATAAGCTGCAGAGGTGAATGGTCTGCTATAGCTTTCACTGACCTGTTGTTAAAGGCCAGTGTGTAATCTACTGTCTCATACAGTAGATATTAACTAAGCTACTGTAAAGCTATAATTCTTGTAACCACCATAACCATAATATTAATGCATGAAGCAAGAATCCTAATAGAAAAAATACTACGGTTTGGTGTTTTTAATCGATGATCATGTTATCTCATGGTTAGTTTCTTTGTACAGAGATATTCAAAAGAACGACTGTACGGATTTTTTTTAATCAATCATAATAGCCGGTGTGAGCAATGATCATCTGATTTTGTTACATCTATCAGCTCTTATACGATTGTATGACTTTTTGTGATGAAAGCGCAGAACAAAAATCCTGAAACTGGAGATTCAACTTATGAACACTGTGAACTGTCTCTGGAAGAAATATTGTGTCACCACCTCAAGTATTTTAACATTTTGTTAAAGTTCAACAATCAATTAATATCTAAGAACATTTGGGAACTTTATTTTAGCCTTGTGTGTTATTGTTCTTTTTTGTGGAATTTTTATTTTATTTCTTTCGGTGTGTTTTGAACAATTTTGAACAAATCGTTACAATGGCAAATGCTGTATCTATATAGTGGAAGCTCATCTAAATAACACAAATACTAATAGAGGTGATTGGGAGTTTGGTTTTTGGAGCTCACTACATTTTAAAATGAATAATTTAAGCCAACGCTGTTTATTTTAAAAAAAAAATCAACCTGAGCCAGTAAAACTATAATCCTCATTAGTCTATTTAAAGTTGTTTTTTAAATAAGGCCAGTTAAAGTGTTACCTTAATCACATTTATTTTTAATGTTGAGTGTTCATTTTTTTTTTAACATTTTACAATCATGTTAAAACTTTATTTGCCTTATTAACTTTGAGTGTTTCTACTGTATACCCACAAACTGTTACAATACGTTTTGGGGCAATAACCCTCAGAAAAAATTATCAAACTCCGACCGATTTCATCTTTGCTGTTACACCACAAGGCCAGTATGTTTTGTTTTCTAAATGTAATACCATTTAGTGTTTGGAATAAATTAGGAATCTGCTGCAGAGCTGGAAATCAGGTGCTGAAAAAAGTGACTTTATTTTGCCTTTTTGTGAATGTGTGTTTTTATTTTCTGAACTTGAAACCTCTAGTTATCAAACTGCATGATCTTTTTTCTGAATGATCTCATGATTGTTTAATCTCGTGATTTCCTTAGACATCATTTGTATGACAAAGCACTGGCACTGACTTTCAAAGTGTACAATATTTATTTCAGTGCCTATGTGAAATTATATTTTTAAACATTTTGAATGAATAAAGAATGCTGGGAAATACTTCATTGGAGAGTCTTTTTTATTTTTTAAACCTCAGAATAATTCTCATTCATTTTTATTTTTTATTTACCCTAATCTGTACTAAATTGAGTATCATTGCAGAAAAACCTTGAAGCTTTCACTTTAATGAATGTATAGTACACATTGTAGAAACAGTGAACTTATCCAAATATATTGTACAGGTTTCCTATATTTTATTGGAATTTGTATTACAAATTACAGGGATTTTAATGTATTTCAGATGTGTAATGTAATCTAAATGTTCTTTTTCTTTACAGTTTATTTCTTATTAATGTTTATATATTTATTTAAACTTATTTCAATAATGTGGTTCATTTTCTTTTTACATTTTCTTTATCATTATTAACCTTTGTATTTGCCTTGGTTTTTTACCTGCTTGTTTCTGCTGTTCACGGTCTTGAACAGTAGAGGGCATCATTGACACAAAAGTTCCCCATTTAGAAGTAACAGTTAACATTAACTTTATTAAAATGTTCAGACTTTGTCTAAACCGCACTAACACACACATTACACTCACACGTGTGTCTCCTAGAGCAATTTGTGTTCACCATATTTCCAATTTAACCATCCATTGTATTCTGTGAAGCTGAATCTTCTCAGTGTTTCACAGTAGAGGGCTGTGAGGGCTACAAGCCTCAAACAAACAAACACACATGCTAAAGGTATGCTTTTTGTTTTACATCAGACATACACATTTATTTGAAACCGCTTTATTTTTGCTAGATTGAGTGCATGCAATCTTGTTTAAAATATCTATTATGTTGTGTGTAATCCTTGTCAGTGTCCTGCAGCTCACCTTGCTCCTGGCAAAAAGCTGAGCTGATGAAAAACACCTCCCTTTATAGATGTGTCAGCTAATTGGACTACGCCATTCCTCTCAAACCCTGAGGGGTGTTTAAAGAGGCCACTCAATTTAAGCCACCCCTTTTTAAGGCCTTTTCCCCTGCATGCAACAATGGACTGGCCAGTAGTGCTATACATTTCTGCAGTGTGGAGATGAAGGGGGGATATAACTTCTCTTCAGAATAT